GCTGGTGGTGCTGGAGCTACTGGTGCTGGTGGCATTGCTCAGCCGCGCCTGTTCTTCGCTCCGCCATCTTCGTCGTCTCAGCCACCACCTGACTCTGCACTTCGCCAGGTTCTCAGTCTTCCCTCGTCTACTGGTCTTCCGTTACAGCCTGGCTCACCGCTGCCTGCTCCTTCTCCGTACACAGAGCAGACTAGTGGCCTTGCAGAGCGTCGTGAGCCTGCGTCGCGTCCTGTCTCACCTGTCCGTTCTGGTCGTTCCGGTCGTCGTGTTCCTAGTCAGAGACAGCCTACTGTCTCCGACCCTCACCTTGTAGTTCGTCGTCCTTCCTCTCCTTCGTCGCGTGTTCCTCTGCTGCCTCCCCCTGCGTCCTCTCTGCCTGTCGTTGCTGACCCTGCGTCTGACCTGTTTCGTGCTGAGCACTCTACTGTCCCGCGTCTGCTTGCCACTGTTGTCACTGACCCATCGTTTGAGTCTGCTGCTGCATCTGCCTTAGTCGCTGAGCTTGTTGACTTTGCTGCTCACTGTCGTCTAGACTACGCCGCCAGTCTTGTTGCTGAGTCTGAGTCTGTCTGTCCTCCGTCCGTCGGGGGTGAGTGTGCTCTTGGCACGGACGTCCTTGAGGACAGACAGGAGGACCTTGAGTGTCTTGCAGCCGCTGCGCCTCATCTCGTGTCCATGCTGCTTGCCCCTGAGGGAGACCCGAATGCACCAGACATCCCTACCCCGCGCTCTTACGCTGAGGCGATCGCGGGTGAGTACTCCTCTCAGTGGCAGACAGCCATGGACGCAGAGATGGCATCCTGGAAGTCCACAGGCACTTACGTTGACGAGGTTCCCCCTCCTGGGGCGAACATTGTCAGTGGCATGTGGATTTTCAGGGTGAAGCGGCCTCCAGGTTCTCCGCCTGTCTTCAAGGCTCGTTACGTGGCTCGAGGCTTCAGTCAGCGAGAGGGAGTTGACTTCTTCCAGACCTTCTCCCCCACCCCGAAGATGACCACTCTTCGGGTGCTGCTGCATGTTGCCGCTCAGCGTGACTACGAGCTACACTCTCTTGACTTCAGCACAGCCTTCTTACAGGGCAGCTTGCACGAGGAGATCTGGCTGCGCCGCCCTCCTGGCTTCACTGGGTCGTTCCCTCCTGGTACCCAGTGGAGCCTCCGGCGGCCAGTCTACGGTCTCCGCCAGGCGCCACATGAGTGGCACGACACACTGAGGACGACACTTGCGGCTCTTGGGTTTGCTCCGTCGACTGCTGACCCGTCGCTGTTTCTGCGCACCGACACTTCGCTGCCGCCGTTCTACATCCTCGTGTACGTCGACGACTTGGTCTTTGCCACTGCTGACACTGAGGCTCTCGCCCTGGTGAAGTCGGAGCTGCAGAAGAGACACACGTGCACAGACCTGGGTGAGCTGCACAGCTATCTTGGCTTGCAGATCACTCGGGACAGAGCACGCCGCACCATCACACTGACTCAGTCACACATGGTGCAGCAGGTCCTTCAGCGCTTCGGCTTCACCTGGTCCTCAGCACAGCCCACTCCTCTGGCTACAGGTCACTCGCTCTCAGCTCCACCTTCGGACGAGTCCGTAGAGCCGAGTGGTCCTTACCCAGAGCTAGTGGGCTGCCTCATGTACCTGATGACCTGCACTCGTCCTGACCTTGCGTACCCTCTTGGTCTTCTGGCTCGCTACGTGGCTCCTGGTCGACACCGAAAGGTGCACATGGATGCTGCTAAGAGGGTACTACGCTACTTGTGCAGTACATCGGGCATGGGGCTCGTGCTTGGAGGACGGGGTGACGTTGTCCTCACTGGTCACTCGGACGCCTCTTGGGTTGACGACCAGGCTACGCAGCGGTCGTCACAGGGTTACACCTTCAGACTTGGTTCTGGTTCAGTTTCCTGGCGTTCTACACGTTCGTCTTCAGTTCTCGGCTCCAGTTGTGAGGCCGAGATCTACGCCACAGCCATGGCTGCGCAGGAGCTACGCTGGCTCACCTACCTGCTGACAGACTTGGGAGAGCGGCCTCGTTCTCCTCCAGTTCTGTACGTCGACAACAAGGCCGCCATCGCCTTGTGTCAGGAGCACAGACTGGAGCACAGAACAAAGCACATCGCTCTCCGTTACTTCCTTGCTCGAGAGCTGCAGCAGCGTGGCCAGCTTCGTCTTACTTACGTGGCCACTCGGGCCAACACTGCTGATATATTCACCAAGGCGCTTCCGCCTTGTGATCATCAGCGTTTCTGTACTTTTTTAGGCCTTGTGCCCACACTTCCTCACTTGCTGTAGGCTTTGTTTGTACTGTGATCTATATGTATACCTGCATGCTTGCTCTTGTAGGCTGATATCAATGTGCTGTTGTTGTTACACATATATCTCTGCATGTGAACTGGCCTTGTGGCCTCTTGCTTGTGCTCAGATTGTGTGGTGACGTTGTGATCCACCCTGAGCTTGCTTTGCATTTCCTGTCTGGTCTTGTGACCCTCTGTTCTCCCCCACTCTGCCTATGGGGGTGTGTCAAACATATGTATTGTCAAACATATGTTTATATGTTTAAGTTAGATAGGTTGTAGTGGGGTACTCACTGTGGGGTACAACCCCTTAGATTTTTTCTCTTGTACCAACACTCTCGATAGTTGAATCATCACTAGCCTTTCGACATGTATATCTATGTTATAGCTTGGGTAGGCTTAGTGGGGTACACACTGTGGGGTACAACCCCTTAGGTTCATTTTCTTTGTACCAACCCCCTCGATAGTCGACACCACTTTTAGCCTACGATTATGACAAATACGGTTTTGACGTTCTTCATGTTGGAGATAAACTGAACATCTGTCCTGTAAGGAATTTTCCCGAATTCCTTATCGGGGTTGACTGCTTCGCGTACAGCCCCGATTTTCGGACTCTGCACATTTGGCCGACATCAACGATGCCGAGCCTCCTCACGTCGCCTTCGGCGTTTTCCTTCGCCAAACCTGCACCCAACCACCTCACTCACCCGAAGTTCCCTCCTAGCTAGGCTAGCCACTACATTAGCGTGTGCCTTCATTGTATGATCAGTCTGTTGAATCACATTCTCGTTATTCGTTAATCTGCGCACTCTCCATTACAACTCATAACATGTCCGCTGTGAATCTCAAAACAATGTAACCTAGGAGCATCTATTTTAAAATTCAACTTAGCATTAAGAAACCCTAGACATTTTAACTTGGTTGAGGTGCATGCGCTAAAACACCACTCGTGCTCTTAGTGTCTGCTCTTTGATCTAATATAAGTACAATGTTTCCCCATGTCAGGCCCATGCGCTAACGATCCTGTTCGAGGAGTGCCTCACATGAACCACTTACTCGTCAACTCCCAACCAGCTGCTTTTCACCATCGTAACCCTCCTGGTACGATTATGGAACAATCTTTTTGTCTCCTCGACCGACAGTAACGCGTAGGCTCGAACCCCGATTCGTTGCGCGCCGTGCTCGCGGGATGGCTGCAGGGTCGGATCGTGCAGGCGGAGTCGCAACTCCGGAGCGGGCTGTCCGGCGCGCCATGGCATTCGCATGACAAGGCGGGGAGTGCCACGGCGCGGGGAACAAAATACCTACCAGCGCTACCAGCAAAACCAGCAGCGGTACTACGAACGGTGGCGGTAGCGGGAGTCATGGCAGCACAGGCAATGTGGAGGGTTGGCGCGAGCAGGCAGGCTGCGCCAGCGCCATAGGCTGCGCCAGCTGTACCTCCCCTCATCCCCGCTGCCAGCGCCATAGGCTGCGCCAGCTGTACCTCCCTTCGCTGCGTCACTCTGTGCCTCTCCGCCTGTTTTCACCCCTGCTCCCCGCTCCACCCATCCCCAGGCGCGCCATCAGCTGTGCCAGGTGCACGTGCGGGTGGGTCGGGGTTGAGCGAGGAGCAGCGGCGGGCGACGTGGGAGGAGCAGCGAGAGTGGGAGCAGCATGAGTGGTAGCAGCACGAGCGGGAGCAGCACGAGCGGGAGCAGCACGAGCGGGATCAGCACGAGTGGGAGCGGCGCGATTGGGAGCAGCACGAGCGGGAGCAGCACGAGCGGGAGCAGCACGAGCGGGAGCAGCATGAGTGGGAGCAGCACTCCGTGTGCCACACGCACAAAGGCACGTGACCTTGATGCCCACAGTGTGCTCCCACACGCACGGCTGCTTCCTTTCTCAACGTAGCGCCACAGCAGGAAATCTTCCCCTCAAGGTGGATTGCAGCAGCCAGGCTCAAGGGGCCGCCGCTGCAGGGCTGCTTGCTCTCAGGGTAGGGTTGCAGCAGCCATGCGTCAGCAAGGCAGGTGTGAGTCAAGTCAGCTGCTGTGCAAGCCCACGCACATGCAGGGTTTCTTCCTCACAGTGTGCCGCAATTCGCCCTAGCTGCCTGTGCACGATGTGCATCATCGCCAGCATCACCAACGCCACCACACCACTGCCCCAACCACCCTGCTGCATTCTCACCTCAAATGCTGCCATGCCATGCCGTTCCCCATCCACCATGCCTTTCCATTTCCTCCCCATACACCATGCCATGCTGTGCCCGCTCTCCTATCCACTATCTTTCCTCCCACCTTTCCAACTCCTCCCCAGCCGCCACTTACCTCCATGCGCTCCGCTCCTAGCCTGGCTACACGTGTCCCCTCCTCATTGGCCACAATGCTGGCGTTTCCTCTTCGCATATCCCCGGTTCTGCTGCTTTCACTCCTCTCTTTCCCCACCACCCTCCCCATCCCTCCCCAACCCGCCCCTTTCCCCCTCTCCCCTAAGACAGGCCACTTTCCAGCCATGATGAGTATGTTTTATATTTCTCTTGCCTCCAGCTTTCCTTTATTTGTCATTCCTTTTGTCACCCCATGGCTGCCATTTCATCTCCTCTCTTCCCTCCTCCTCCGTCTCTCCTCTTCACCTTCCTCGTTTCCCCTTTCAGCCAGCCCACTTCCCACCCAAGCCAGAAATGTCTCCCCATGTCTCCCACCCCAGCCAGGCCACTCAGCCTAAATGGCCTCTCTTCTCCCATCTCTCATCCCACCTCTCTTCCTGCAACCCCAACCCTCCACCCCTTTTCTCCCACTCGCCGTCATCCGCTCCCGCCCAGACAAGGTAGCTCCGAGCCAAGCAAGACATGTCTCCCCCAACGTGGGAACGCCGCCCCACCCCCCTCTCGATAGTCGCACCGCTGAGGCTGAGCTGGCACTCGCTGACGTGACAAGTGCTGACATGGCATTTTTGCGACTGGAAGGCGTGTTTGCAGCGTTCGGAGAGGAGCGAGTTTGGTCTGCACCCATTGCCCAGGTCAGCAGCGGAGGATGAGGGGAGAGTGATGAAGGGGAGACTGAAGGTGAAGGATCAGAGGGGCGGATGAGAAGGAATGGGGTTCAATAACGCGCCAATGGGAAGGAATGGGAATGTGGAGAATGGTGGCAGTGGAAGGGGACGCGGGGAGACGCTTTGTGCATCTCATGGAGAGTGGAGTGGGGTGGGGTGGGTCCCAGTGGACGTGTGACTTGAGTGCTGCCGTCAAACCAGCTTCCTCCCTCGCCTGCTCTTCCCTTGCGTCCCTCCTTCCCTCGCCCCTTGCTCACCCGCTCCTTCTCCTTCTGACGTCTCCCCCTCTGCTTCATTGCCACTCCCTGTACCACCTTGCATTGTTCTGACGCAATCCCATCACGTCTCCTCTGACCCCCCTGTTCCTCGCTCTTAACTCCCTTCCTCTACCGTCCGCTCTTTCCATATACCCCTGCGCCTGCTCCCACCCTCCTGCGATCTCAGTGGCCCACCGCCTCCTCCCGCTACTGCTACCGCTCCTTCCTGCTGGGTGGGGAGAAGCGGGAGGGCGTGGTGGGATGCGGATAGTAAGGGTGTTGATAAGGAGGAGTGAGGGAGAGGAGAGGTGAGGGGTCAGCACGGCAGCCGACCCTCTCCCTTTGTGACAGCTGGCACGCTGGTTTCACCACTGCTGCAACCCTCTATTCCGCTCCTTGCTGGAAGGTGGGTTTGGGAAGAGGAGGAAGCAGTTGGGCAATGCGTGGATTGATGGGACTGGAGTGGGCTAGAGACTGGGATGGGACTGGTTAGGAAGTGAGACAAGAAAGAGAGCAGCAGAGAATTATCCCTTGGCACAAAGTGGGAGCAGCAGAGACGCCTTGTGCGTAGTGTGAGCTGAGCCTGGACGTTATCCCATGGCGATCTGAATAACCACGGGCCGGTGGTAGAGGGCAGCATGGGGCGATTGAGAAAGAGTGATTTGCGGGAGAGGGAGTTCATGTTGACAGGTCGGACATGATGTGCTGAGGGTTATATGGTGGTGCTGATGGTATGGTGGTGCTGGTGGTATGGTAGTGCAGAGGGTACGGTGGTGCTGACGTGGTTCTCATTGTGTCGCAGATGCTGGCTGTAATGGAAGACAACACAGCCATGAGTGTGGTGAGTCCTCACCTCGTAAGGCACTGGCCTCAGAAGAAACGACTCCATCACCCGTGCAGCTTCCTCCCTCGCTTGATCTTCCCCTGTGTTCCCCCCTTCCCTCGCTCCTTACTCACCCGCTCCTTCTCCGTCTGACATATTCCCCGTCGCTTTATTGCCACTCGCTGCACCAACACCAGCACAACCTTTTGCATCGCTCTCACTCAATCCCATCACACCTCCCCTGCCTTCATCTTCTCCGTCCCTATCACCCCTCCTCCACTGTCCATGCTCTCCATGTACCCCTGCGCCTGCTCCCACCCTCCTTCTATCTCAATGCCACGCCGCCTCCTCCCACTGCTGCCACCCTCTGCACCGCTCCTTCCTGCTGGGTGGGGAGAAGGGGGGGGGCATCGTGGGATGCGGACAGTAGGGGTGTTGATACGGAGAAATGAGGGAGAGGAGATGTAGGTATGGTGTTGCTGAGGGAATGGTGGTATTGAGGGTACGATGTTACATGCTCTCTGTGTGTTTGCGCTTGCGCACATGAGCACTTGCACATATTCGTGTCTGTGTGCATGGATGTATGTGTGCATGGATGTATGTGTGCATGGATGTATGTGTGCGAGTATTAACATGCATGCATGTGCGTGTGTGCATGCACGCATGGGCATGTGGTGCAGGGCAACAGGTGGCTACGACAGACCGTTCTTGTATTGAATGGTTGATCATCGCTACTAGGGTGCATGCAGTGAAGAAACTCCCGCTCAGTTCCATCACCTCGCTGTCTATGCTCTTCCTCTTCGTGCTCTTTCTTCTTTGCACCCCTCTAGTTCCTCCTCAAACCTCCAAAGTATTCTCGATCCGCTCTTCTTATTGGCAAAACGGCTCGTGGCAGTCAGTTCCCCTCCCAGTCCCCCGCCTCTTCCATGCCGTTGCAAGCAGTGAGAGAGGCAGCAGTACAGACAGCACGGAACACAGTGGATGTGAGGGGGCGGAGTGCAGAGGATGCATTAGCAGCGGTGGACCTAGCAGTGCAGTCCAGCCCGACTGGTGCTGTGCTCTTCATTGTGCATGGGCTTGGGACAGGGGTTCTTCGGGCAGCTGTCCTGAAATATCTCTCGGGCAGCCCGCTGGTTTCACGGCACGAGGCGGAGAGTAGGTCAAATATTGGGTGTGCTAAAGCATATACCTTGGGTGAGCAGGATTTGTGGTGCAGTTGCAGTGCTATGTGTGGAAATGTTGTGTACGCGTAATGGCCTGGCCATTAAGTTGAGCTATTTCCTGGGTAATATCCATACGGTACCATCACATCACTCCATTGAAGTATGGTAAAGGAAGTGGCTGGAGAAATCATGGACGCGGTTTATTACCCAAACCAACACATCATAGGTGGAGTAAGCAAGGACATTATTTATTACCGTACCTAGCTAACTCAGGGTCCTGGCTGGTTTCAAGCTCCGAGGGGCAAGAAGAGTTGGTAGGAAAGGTCCCACAGGAGCTATAACCGTATTGGCAAGCACCCTCAGGGTCCTTCTGGCTGGTGTGAAGCTCCGAGGGGCTGGACCAGAAGAGTTGCTAAGGGAGGACCCACACGTGACACAAGCTGCCGGTATAGCCGTATTTCCAGCTGCCTTGTTTGAGAGCAAGCACCCTCATGATATACGCCCCCTGTGCTTACGCCGCCTTTAGCTCTTCTGTGAACTGCAGGTGCAAGAAGAGGCATTATTAGAACCTGATTTGCTTGACATGCGACAGATGAAAAAAAATCAGAATGGCCAGTAGCGAGTCTCAAGGTCACCTTTCCCTGGTTCTTCTGGAAAGATATCGCACTCACTCCAGTCATGAGCTCCACCTGCGTCGAAACCCTTATCTGATGACTCCATACTGCAAACAAATGCAAACTTGGTCAGCATCCGTCATTTGAAGGTTACGATTACCCACCATGGTGCGAAGGGCAAGCCAAACCCACTTACTGTATCCACCAATTTTTCCGTTGTAAGCCATCCACTTGTTTCTCCCTGTGAATAGCTTCCCGCGGTCCGCATTTGGCATGGAATCGGACATCACGCTTTTCACGTGAACATACTCAAAGGCAGAGTTTGGGTTGTCAAAGGGCGCCCATGCAACTCCTTCGTTGGCAGTGTTGTCGCAAACACCGAAGTGGCAATTGAAATCACCTGAAATGAGAAGTTAGAGCAGCAACGAGGTTCAGCCTCTGCGTAAAAGAAGCGCTGGAAAGATACCAGGTGTTACTCAAGCTACTACTCACCAGCGCTCGGGTAATGCTCATGATTCCCCTTCGCGACATACACAATGGGATGCGTTCCCAGCACTGTAGCGAAGTTCTTTGACTTTTTGTCATTCCAGTCAGCCCCAGTGTCCCACGCCCACACGGGGCCGTCGCCGTGCTGCGCGTACCAAATGCGCTGCGGCTGGCCGGTCTTTGAGAAGCGGATCGCAATCGCCACCAGATCCGTGATGTGGTTGTACTCGCGGAGGATGGAGGCGTAGTTCTGTGAATATAGAAGCAGGGATAGATCAGCGATAAAACGTCACAAAAGAGGCAGGAGCTTATTGAAAGAGTTGGGGTGGAGAGGGGGATGGGGGGAAGTGTGGGAGGGAAGGAAACAAGTGGAATGGGGGAGGGGGGGAAGTGTGGGAGGGAAGGAAACAAGTGGAATGGGGGAGTGTGTGAGGGAAGGAAACAAGTGGAGTGAATCCAGACCAGCAGACTAGTTGGAATACTCACATAGGGGTAGAGCATCCAATACTGAATCTCCACAAACGAGTCAGCGTCGTCCGGCTTCGGATTATAGATGATCGTGTACACCTTCGTGCCTCCTTTTGATGGGTTGTGCGCCGAGTCCTTCACCCAGTCCGTATCCTTGGTAATCTCTTCGCGCGAACTGAGCAGGACAGTTCGGCCACGGTCGGTCTTCAACACCCCATCCCCCAGCAAGGTATCGAGGTTGTCGGGAGTGATCGGGCCCGCCTGGTACTGAATCTCTTTCGTCTTGTAGTTCTCAGTGTACTGACCGATGGACTCTGTCACATGTGTGAGGTACTCGTCGATTGTGATCGGCCAGATGGTTTCGTCGGGGTGGAACTTGTACTGCGGCGAGTACTTGACGGCCACGTCCTCCCAGAAGGGATCGCACGCGGGGCTCGTTTTCGGATCAAACATGCACGGGTCCACCTTTCCAGCAGGCATGGGCGGGTTGGCGTTGCGAACGAGCATGGCGAATTGCGACTGGAACCATTGGCCAGCTCGCGGCGCGTCTGCCAGGGCGTCCAGGCCCAGGGGATCCAGAGGGTCGCATTCGCGATCCACGGCAATCACGCCCAGAATCTTCCTTCTGAATCAAATGCAGCGTGGGGAGGGAGGAAGAGATACGAGTGACGATGTCAATAAAGCATAGTGAAGGTGTCTGAGAAGATAGATAACCCAAATGGGAAGGAGGGGGAAGAGAGATGCCTCGTGGGGAGGGAGGAAGAGTGATGAGTGACGATGTAAATCAGAGCATAGCCAAGGTATCTGGAAAGATAGATAACCCGAAGGAGCACCCCGGGCGGTAGTACGACACTTACGCGTGGCCATCGCTTTCCCCAGGCGGCTTGATCCAGACCAGAGCGTCAACTGCAAGCAGGGCAAGCAAGGTGTGCGCCAAAGGAACGGAGCCTCGTGAGTCAAATAGAATCGCTGGGATAGAACAGAAAAATGAACCAAACACGCAGAATGCTGGTAGTGATACCAAGTGCTCACCTTGCGGAGCACTTCCGGGATTCGCCTCGGGACGCTGTCCGATCCCCGCGCCCTTCACGTTGCACCACGACCCCCAGCGGTTGCGAATGCCAGCGCGGCCGGACCGGCTGGTATCCACGATCCACCTGGTCGGCAATCCCAAGGCTCCCAGGTACGCATTCATTCGTGCGGTAAATCGGTTCTCGTCGATGCAAGGGTTCCAGTCGTAGTTAGTCTCGCCCGTGCTCGGGTTCTTCACCAGCGGGCATTTCTCCAAGGCGGGACAGACGGAGGGTAAGAGCGGGAAGCTCCTCGCGAAGAGCGGGCTGTAGTTGGCCACGTTAGACGCGAAGCCGCGGATCTTGGCGTTCGCGCGGATCTGCCGCGCGCGCGCGAGGACCTTCATGTACACCGCCACCACGCGCTTCATTCCCTCCGGCCACCCTGCTCACGCGACGGGGGAAGGTGGAGTGGGGGGGAAGCGTGAAGTCAAGCAACGGAATAGATTGCAGCATTGGACTGAATCACACGAGCGTACGTGCGGCAGACACACTCACCGAGCCAGCCGCCAAAGCCGGAGTCGAGATAGAGCGTGGTGTCGGGGATCTGCGAGAGCTCCGCGATGGCATACGCGACGCCCTCCGTGTACTCCTTATCCGTCGTCGCGTCGCACCGATTCATCCCCATGTTCGTCGCGATGTTGGGCAGCGAGTCGGGCTCGATCACGAGCGACAGACGCACGTTCGCCGCCTTGTTTTTAAGGCGCGCCACGGCAACATCGATGTACTTGGCCTTGTACGTGTCGAGGCCGCCCTTGGGAATCTCCCCATTGGACGACCACGCCTTGCAGTCGCGGCCCGGGAGGTCGTAGATCACGAATTGCACGAGAATCGCCTTCGCACCCCCTTGAATCGCTGCCTCTTCCAGGTGGCCCGGGATGGAATCTAGGGACGCCATATTGTCGAGCCACACAGCCGTCGGATTCTCCGCCACGCTCGCGAAAAACGGCGCGTCCTCGCGAGACGCGGCGAGCATTGCGGATTTCACACTCGCCGCGTACCCGCGGTTGAGATACTGCTGGACTCCCGTGTACGGGTTGCCGGTCGCGCTGTCGCCGACGCGGTAACCGCACGACGTGCCAGTGGCGGGGACCAGTTCAGTCGCGTTGATCGCCCCCTTGAGCCAGCACGTGCCGCCGTTGAAGGCACTCCACGTGAAATGCGTGCAATCCGCGCGGCTGAGGCACTGCGGTCCGCAGGTCTCGCCCATGCCGGCGGTTCGGCCAATGTCGTTGCCCTTCCAGTCGCAGTTCAGCGACCACTGCACTTTTCCGGCCTCGGAGCTTGAGAAGTCAAATGCTGACGTGGCTATCACTGAGAGATTGAGAGTCACCAGCACTACCACTAGTACTACGGGTGCCAATGTAGTCGAAAGGAAACTCGCGGCCACCATCGTTTCGGCTGGTTGACAGGAAGGAATGAGAGAGTTACGGGAAACTCACGGCGGGCCCGTCCCTTTTGAACGCTTGGGCCAAGTCGGACTGCGGCTCGGATCGCATCGGCGGCAAGGACGGATCGAGTCGCCTCCATCTTTTCTACTTTGGCGACGTACGGTCCGAGGCATGTATTCTGACGATTATTGGTGTCTCCACGGCGTATTGTTGTGACACCAATGATTGGTGCTCTGGGTTCCCGTGAAAGCATGTGCCGCAATGCACTCTCTCACAGTAAGTGCCCCGCAAGTCACGCAATGCACCCTCCCATGGCACAATAAGTGACCCCCATGGCGTAAGGAACCTTTTTGCAGAGCTCTGGTCCCAGGCGCTAATCCGCTTATTGTCGTATAGTGTGGTTTGGAAGGTTTGAAATCGGTTTGGCACAGCTTTCCGTGTTTACCATTTCGGAAAGCAACCCACCAACAAATGTGGGGGACACCCTGTTACAATGCTGTGGTGCATTCCTCTAATGTTTTTTTTTTTTTTTTAGTGATAATTGAAAGTATACACCAAAAGGCAAGCATATACCGACTGACAGGAACTAGAGGGGACCTCTTGCTCCAGATAAGATTTCTAGGGTCTGATGTTCCTGACCCTCCGCGCTGACTAGGGTGAAGGCGGGATCATCCGTGTGCTGCCAGTGAAGAGTGACCAACTGACCCTGAGATTCTGGTAAATCACTTCTTTCTGCCAAACCCATGCCGCATCTGACTCCATTGCAAATGAAACTTGCAGGCAACAATAACACGTCTCGGCAATGTAGACCGTCTGGAGCTCCTGAAACTTTGTCGTCGTCACAACGTCAGCTGATAACTCTGAAATCCACCCGTGCTTTATAAGTGCTTTGACAGCATCAATCACACAAGAAATCTCCTTCACCAGCATGAAAGGGACCAGCAGAATGGCAACAGAGCGCAAACCAGATCATGCTTCCTTAACCAGGTCGATCAGCATTTCGTCATACAAGTCGTCATCAATGAACCAGTCAGCATCGGTAAGACCCATGGAAGGAGTTGAAGCCTTGTCGCTCGCAGATAAGCCAGATCCACTGGCAACTGAAACTGGTGCCTTGCCATTGTCATGTCAAACTATATGTTTGTGTTATCTCTAGGCTATAGTGGGTTAGCATACAAGGGATATAACACTTTAGGGTTAGTACTTGTACCCAACTCATTCATAGTTCATTCATTCCTGCACAGTTATTCTGACATGGTATCAGAGCAGGAAACCTGTTAAGTTTTTAGGGCCCACCGATAGTTTCGATCGTTCCTGCCCGAAGCGACCTTGCGTTGTCAGGCCCTGCTAGCACAGTGTCGCGCTGCCCTGCAGCTACTTGCACTGCCTGCCCCCCCCCCCCCCCCCCCCCCCCCCCCCCCCCCCCCTCCCCCCCACCCCCGCACATCGCGCCCTGCTGCCCTACGCGTCGCGCCCTGCTGCAGCCAGCGCGTCGCGCCCTACTGCAGCCAGCGCATCGCGCTCTGCTGCCCTGCGCGTCGCGCCCTACTGCAGCCAGCGCGTCGCGCCCTGCTGCCTTGTGCGTCGCGCCCTGCTGCCTTGCGCGTCGCGCCCTGCTGCAGCCAGCGCGTCGCGCCCTACTGCAGCCAGCGCGTCGCGCTTTGCTGCCCTGCGCGTCGCGCCCTGCTGTAGCCAGCGCGTCGCGCCCTACTGCAGCCAGAGCATCGCGCTCTGCTGCCCCTCGCGTCGCGCTCTGCTGCCCCACACGTCGCGCCCTGCTGCCCTGCACAGCGCGCGCCCTGCTGCCCTGTCCACCGCGCGCCCTGTCCTGCAGCCCGCGGAATGCTCTGCCCGACCAAGCCGCGCCGCCCGAGCCGTCCTGCCCAACCCGAGCTGCGCCGCCCTACCTTTGTCACCAGCCCCACCGAGCCGCCCTGCTGCCACTACTGCTGCTGCTGCTAGTGCTACTGCTGCTGCTAGTGGAGGTTCTGCTGGGAGTGCTGCTGGAGATGGGGGTTCTGGAGGTACGATTGCGAGTGCTGGAGGTGCTGCTGGTGCGGGACGTGCGACTGGGAGTGCTGGAGGTGCTGCTGGTGCCGGAGGTGCTGGACCTACTACTGACCGTCACTGCCTGTCATGGCCTCTATCACGGCAGTTGCAGCGGCTATGGGTGGACAGCGGCGCTCAGTGCCTCTCCCGGACGACCCCAACCCTCAGCAGCTTCGCGAATGGGTTCTTCAGCGAGCGCGTCTAGGTGGTGGATGCTTTGGTTTTCTACGTACTGCACAGAGGCGGCAGCAAAGTCAGCAGGAGACCTTCTCCCCTCAGGTGCTTAGTGAGTTGTTTCCTCAGCGATGTGTCACTGGTTATGTCGAGACTCCTGCACTAGGTGCTAGTGAGTCTGCTGCCGCACTAGGTGCTAGTGAGTCTGCTGCAGCACTAGGTGCTAGTGAGTCTGCTGTAGCACTAGGTGCTAGTGAGTCTGTTGCCGCACTAGGTGCTAGTGAGTCTGCTGCAGCACTAAGTGCTAGTGAGTCTGCTGCAGCTTTAGGTGCTCGTGCGTCTCCCGCCACAGGTCCTTCCTCAGCTGAGGCCTTGCACACTTTCACACTTGACTCAAGCGCGTCACGTTGCTTCTTTCGTGACTGCACCACACTCACACCACTTGCTGCACCGGTACCGGTCTCACTGGCTGACCCCACTGGGGGCCCAGTAGTCGCACGAGCCTCCACTGTCCTCCCGTGTCCAGCAGTCCCCTCCGGTTCTCTGTCAGGTCTCCACCTCCCCACGTTCTCGACGAACTTGGTGAGCAACGCTGCCATTCAGGATGTCTGGGTTGATACCTTTATTCATGGAGGGCAACGTGTGGCGATCTGTACGTGCTCCCGGACTGGCCGTCACCTAGTTACGTTCACTCGACGGCCTGGGTCTAGTCTGTACACACTGACCACTGCGTCTGCACAGGTGGCTGAGGCAGGTCAGGTGACTGCGTCGAGTCAGGTGTCTGCGTCTGGTCAGCTTGCAGCGTCTTGCTCGTGTCGAGTACTCTCCCACCAGACTCTCCTCTGGCACCACCGCCTCGGTCACCCCTCCCTACCGCGTCTCCGCGGTATGCACTCTCGTCTCCTTTTCTCTTGCCTTCCCAGGTCCCTGCCCTCCCTTCCGCGCTCGCCTGCCCCACCGTGCCTTCCCTGCGTCGAGGAGCGGCAGCGCGCCGCTCCTCACTCCTCCCTGTTTCCTCCGACCACTACTCCTTTGCAGACTCTCCACATGGACCTTTGGGGCCCAGCCCACATCGGTGGAACGGACCAAGAGCGCTACTTCCTGCTGGTTGTTGACGACTACACACGTTACACCACTGTCTTCCCTTTGCGGCGCAAGGCGGACATCAGCGGTGTTTTGATCCCCTGGATCCGTGCTACTCGTCGCCAGCTGCGCGAGCGGTTCAGTCAGGACTTCCTAGTCTTGTGTCTGCACTCTGACAGGGGCGGTGAGTTCTCTTCTGACCTCCTTGCGGAGTTCTGTTGAGACGAGGGCATCGTCCAGTCGTTCACGCTTCTAGCCTCTCCTCAGCAAAATGGGATTGCTGAGCGTCGCATTGGCTTGATCATGGAGGTTGCTTGTACCTCCATGATCCATGCGGCTGCTCCCCATTTTCTGTGGCCGTTTGCGGTCCGATACGCTGCGCATCAGCTCAACCTCTGGCTCCGTGTCTCTGAGCCAGAGACCTCGCCCACACTCCGGTGGACGGGGAAGGTTGGCGATGCGTCGGTGTTTCGGGTCTGGGGTGCGCTCTCCCTTGTTCGCGATGCCAAAGCGAGCAAGCTCTCCTCTCGCACTCTCCGCTGCGTCTTCCTTGGCTTCCCCACCGACGCCCCGCCGTGGCAGTTTTACCACCCGCGCTCACGTCGAGTCTTCTCCTCCCAGGACGTCACCTTTGACGAGTCTGTCTGTTACTACAGGCTACACCCGCACGCATCCCACCCGGTCCCCCTAGCGCCTCTTTTCTTGGTACCAGTCCCCCCCCTTGTTGACCCCCTCCCCCCACAGGGTCCTGCTCCCTCAGGTGTGTCTCAGGTAGACCCACCCCCCTTGGTTGAGCCTTTGGAGGTCTCTTCTGACTCCTCTGGCCCAGCTGAGGGGGGTGACCCCGCCGCCGCCGACACGGCGGCCACTCGGCACTCTCCACGCTTGGAGACCCCCCCTGGTTTTCCGCCTTGGCCGTCTTCACCGCCTCCACAGCCTGCTGCTGTGGACTCTGGAGCTAAGACTGCTGGTGCTGAGCCAGGGGGTGCTGAGACAGAGGGTGCGGGTTCTGGAGGTGCTGCGACTGGGGGTGCTGGTTCTGAGGGTGCTGTGACTGGGGGTGCTAGTTCTTGGGGTAGTACGAATGGGGGTGCTGACTCTGGGGGTACTGCGAGTCCTAGTGGCGGTGGAGCTGTGGGTGACCCTGCTGGAGGTCCTGGAGCTGGACAGCCACCGCAGCCTGATCTACTTGAGACGCTCTCGCCGCAGGCGATTCGTGCGTGGATCGTTCGGCGAGGCAGTCCCGGTGGTGGAGGGTATGGTCCTGCTGGAGCTGGAGCTGCTAGTCCTGGAGGTACTGCTGGTGCTGGAGGTACTGGAGGTACTGCTGGAGGTGCTGGAGGTGCTGCTGGTGCTGGAGGTACTAGAGGTGCTGCTGGTGCTGGAGGTGTCGGAGCTACTAGTCCTAGAAGTGCTACTGCTACTGGTGCTACTGGTACTGGTGCTACATGGTATTAAGAGCCATTAGGTCCTTATGACCAGATTTTTAAAAGGGTCCACCGTTAAGTCTTCGATTTCCTGCCCAAATTGCGCCCCTAGGCGCGTCACTTTTTTATCCTGCCTGAATCGCGCCCCTAGGCACGTCGGTTTTCCTGCCCAAATCGCGCCCCTAGAAGCGACGGTTTTCCTGCCCGAATCGCGACCTTAGGCACGACGAATTTCTGCCCGTATCGTGCCCGTAGGCGCGTCGATTTTCCTGCCCTTCCAGCGCACGCCTGCCCTGCAAACGCTACCCACGCGCTGCCCTGCCCCGCCCGCGCGCGGCTATCCTGCCCTGCCCTACGCGCTGTCCTGCGCCGCCCGCGAGCGCCTGCCCTGCGCTCTGCCAGTGACGCGCACCCGCGCTAGTCCTGCCCTGCCCTACGCGCTGCCTTGCGCCGCCTGCGCGCGCCTTGCCTGCGCTGCAACTGCTGCTAAGCTACTGCTGCCGCCTGCGCTGCTGCTGCCGCCTGCGTTGCTGCTGCCACCTGTGCTGCTACTACTGCGCTGCTGCTGCTGCTAGGCTGCTGCTGCCACCTGAGCTGCTGCTGCCGCCTGCGCTGCTGCTTCCGCCTGCGCTGCTGCTGCCACCTGTGCTGCTACTGCTGCGCTGCTGCTGCTGCTCAGCTGCTGCTGCCACCTGTGCTACTGCTGCTGCGCTGCTGCTGCTGCTGCCGCTTGCGCTGGTGCTACTGCTCAGCTGCTGCTGCTGCCGCCTGAGCTGCTGCTGCCGCCTGCGCTGCTGCTGCCACCTGTGCTGGTGCTGCTGCTAAGCTGCTGCTCCCGTCTGCGCTGCTGCTGCTGCTGCTGCTAGGCTGCTGCTACTGCTAGGCTGCTGCTGCCGCCTGAGCTGCTGCTGCCGCCTGAGCTGCTGCTGCCGCCTGCGCTGCTGTTGCCACCTGTGCTGGTGCTGCTGCTAAGCTGCTGCTCCCGTCTGCGCTGCTGCTGCTGCTGCTAGGCTGCTGCTGCTGCTAGGCTACTGCTGCCGCCTGAGCTGCTGCTGCCGCCTGCGCTGCTGCCGCCACCTGTGCTGCTACTGCTACGCTGCTGCTGCTGCTCAGCTGCTGCTACCACCTGTGCTGCTGCTGTTGCTAGGCTGCTGCTGTTGCTAGGCTGCTGCTGGCGCCTGAGCTGCTGCTGCCGCCTGTGCTGCTGCTTGTGAGAATACTAGCGTGACTTAGGAGCCATGGCTAGGTTAGAGTATCGAGAGAGTTTAGTGTCGAGAGAATTGGAAAGTGGATTCACTAGCAAGAGTTGGGATGCAAATACAAGACCCTTAATTGGGTTGTACTCATTACAGAGTACCCCACTGCAGGCTAGATAACAAATACATTCTGACACACCCCCATAGTCAAAGTGGGGTATAATCAGCAGAGCAAGCAGTCATAGAGCAGGTTCACAAGTACAAGCAAAGCTAGAGGCATTCACAAAGGGCAAGTGAGGAGGAGGAGGCTGGACTCTGAGCCTCCGCTCAACCTCCCCCAACTGTCCCACCCCCCTTTCACACACCCCTTGCTGCACCCCTAGCTCCACTCCCACTTCACCCCCCTAGCACCACTCCCTCGGCTCCCACACACCCACCCCCCTCAGCGGCAGCTGCAGCAGTGGGAGACGGAGGAGGAGGAGCAGGGGACGGTTCACACACCCGCCACCCCCATACTCTCCCCCCCACTGCTGCACTTGCAGCAGGGGATGGAGGAGAAAAGGGGGGGGCGGGGGAGGCAGTGCATGGTGCGTGCAGAGGGCAGCCGGGCGCATGGGGCGCACAGGCAGCAGGGCAGCAGGGCGCGCGGGGCGCGCAAGGCTGCAGTGCGCGCAGGGCGCGCAGGGCAGCAGGACAGCAGGGCGCGCGGGCCCAGCAGGGCTGCAGGGCGCGCAGGGCAGCAGCAAGGGCTGTAGCGGCAACAGCAAGGGCTGTAGCGGCAGCAGCAGGGCAGCAGGGCGCGCGGGGCGCAGCAGGGCTGCAGGGCGCGCGGGGCGCGCAGGGCAGCAGCAAGGGCTGTAGCGGCAACAGCAAGGGCTGTAGCGGCAGCAGCAGGGCAGCAGGGCGCACAGGGCTGCATGGCAGCAGGGCGCACAGGGCTGCAGGGCAGCAGGGCAGCAGGGCGCGCGGGGCGTGCAGGGCTGCAGTGCCCGCAGGGCGCGCAGGGCAGCAGGACAGCAGGGCGCGCAGGGCTGCAGGGCGCACGGGGCACAGCAGGGCTGCAGGGCGCGCGGGGCGCGCAGGGCTGCAGGGCGCACGGGGCACAGCAGGGCTGCAGGGCGCGCGGGGCGCGCAGGGCAGCAGCAAGGGCTGTAGCGGCAACAGCAAGGGCTGTAGCGGCAGCAGCCGGGCAGCAGGGCGCACTGGGCTGCAGGGCAGCAGGGCGCACAGGGCTGCAGGGCAGCAGGGCGCGCGGGGCGGGCAGGGCTGCAGGGCGCACGAGGCGCACAGGGCTGCAGGGCGCGCGGGGCGCACAGGGCAGCAGGGCAGCAGGGCGCACAGGGCTGCAGGGCAGCAGGGCGCGCGGGGCAAACAGGGCAGCAGGGCGCACAGGGCTGCAAGGCAGCAGGGCGCACAGGGCTGCAGGGCAGCAGGGCGCGCGGGGCGCGCAGGGCGCGCAGGGCAGCAGGACAGCAGGGCGCGCAGGGCTGCAAAGCGCGCGGGGCGCACAGGGCAGCAGGGTAGCAGCAAGGGCTGTAGTGGCAACAGCAAGGGCTGTAGCGGCAGCAGCAGGGCAGGGGGGGGCGGGGGGGGCTGGTGCTGCAGATCCCCTCCTGCCTCCCGCAGGTTGGCCACACCCGCCACCCCCATACCCTCCCCCCCACTGCTGCTCCCGCAGCAGGGGGAGGTAGGAGAAAGGTGGGGGACCTGGTGCTGCAGATCCCCTCCTGCCTCCCCCTGAACCTCCAAGTTTCCCCCCCTCTCCCCGCCATCCCCATGGAGGGGGGGGAGGGGGGGGAGGGGGGCGGGGGCGGAGCTGCACGTGCGACTGTAGGGCACGCGGGCAGGAGGAACCCCCTCTTGCCACCCCCTCACCCACCATGGCGCAACAGGGCACCGGGGCCGCGGTTAGGGGCGGCAGGTCGCGAGGGGCCATGGCTAGGGGCGATGGGGCCATGGCTAGGAACAGGGCCGGGCGCTGGGCAGGTACGGGGCGGGTGCTGGGCTAGGGACGGGGCCGGGTGCTGGGCAGGTACGGGGCCGGGCGTTGGGCAGGTACGGGGCCGGGCGCTGGGCAGGTACGGGGCCGGGCGCCGGGCAGGTACTGGGCCGGGCACTGGGCAGGAACGGGGCCGGGCGCTGGGCAGGTACGGGGCCGGGCTCTGGGCAGGTACGGGGCCGGGCGTTGGGCAGGTACGGGGCCGGGCGCTGGGCAGGTACGGGGCCGGGCGCTGGGCAGGTACGGGGCCGGGCACTGGGCAGGAACGGGGGCCGGGCGCCGGGCAGGTACGGGGCCGGGCTCTGGGCAGGTACGGGGCCGGGCGTTGGGCAGGTACGGGGCCGGGCGCTGGGCAGGTACGGGGCCGGGCACTGGGCAGGAACGGGGGCCGGGCGCTGGGCAGGTACGGGGCCGGTCGCTGGGCAGGTACGGAGCCGGGGCGCGGGCTAAGTACGGGGCCTGGCGCGGGCGTTACACGGGCAAGGCGCGGGCTAGGTACGGGGCCAGGCGCTGGCGACAGACGGGGCCGGGCGCAGGCTAGGTACGGGGCCGGGCGCGGGGCTGGGTACGGGCCGGTCGCGAGGCTAGGTACGGGCCGGGCGCGGGGCTAGGAACGGGGCCGAGCGCGGGCAGGGTACGGGCCGGTCGCGAGGCTAGGTACGGGGCCAGGCGCTGGCGACAGACGGGGCCGGGCGCGGGCTAGGTACGGGGCCGGGCGCGGGGCTGGGTACGGGCCGGTCGCGAGGCTAGGTACGGGCCGGGCGCGGGGCTAGGAACGGGGCCGAGCGCGGGCAGGGTACGGGCCGGTCGCGAGGCTAGGTACGGGCCGGGCGCGGGGCTAGGAACGGGGCCTAGCGCGAGGCTAGGTATGGGCCGATTGCTGGCTAGATACGGGGCCAAGCGTGGGCGAGGTACGGGCCGGGCGCAGGCGACGGAATCGACGGGGCCAGCGGGGCCGAGGGGCCGAGCTAGGGGCGACGGGCCAAGGGGCCGAGCCTAGGGGCGACGGGCCAAGGGGCCGAGCCTAGGGGCTATGGGCGACGCCACGGGGCGACGGGCCGGGGCCTAGGCTAGCAGGTACGTAGTTGGTGGGCCCATTGATCTTAGGTCCTAGAACTTATTGCTCTTAATACCATGTGAGAATACTAGCGTGACTTAGGAGCCATGGCTAGGTTAGAGCATCGAGAGAGTTTAGTGTCGAGAGAATTGGAAAGTGGATTCACTAGCAAGAGTTGGGATGCAAATACAAGACCCTTAATTGGGTTGTACTCACTACAGAGTACCCCACTGCAGGCTAGATAACAAATACATTCTGACACTGCTGCCACATGTGCTGCTGCTGCTGCGCTGGTGCTGCTGCTAAGCTGCTGCTCCTACCTGCGCTGCTGCTGCTGCTGCTGCTGCTAGGTTGCTGCTGCCGTCTGAGGTGCTGCTGCCACCTGCGCTGCTGCTGCCACCTGTGCTGCCGCTGATGCCGTAACTGCCGCTCCTGCTGCTTGCTGTCGCTCCTGCTGCTATGGCGACTCCCACTGTTCTAGCCTTTGACACAGTGGGGCACCCTCTAGGGTTCGACTCCTAGCTAGAGGGGCTGCACCTGTACCTCCATAGTGTCACTCGCGACGACGTCTCACTGTTCGAGCACACGTCGGGGTCTCTTCAGGCCCCTAAGGCTCCTGCTGAGCCTGCTGCTAACGCTAGGGAGGAGGTGCGGACGCAGTTCCGTGCAGCTCACATTGCCTACAAGCGAAGGATGTCGCGAGACGCCGCCGCCACACTTGCAGTCCGCCTTCACCTCTCGTTCGACCAGAGAGCCAACTTTCGCCAGGTGCCGTCGGCCCATGCTATGTATTCCGCTGTGGTTAGGCACTACTCCCCCCCCCCCCCCCTCCTGAAGTTCTAGGCTGTCTTGTGCTGCCTCTTACCTTCCCTGCACTGTCAGACCTCATCATTGTAGCTAACGAGGGTGGTCGTAGTGGAGCTGGCGGGAGTGGCGGGGGCGGGCACCAGGAGTTAGAGCCTTCGTGTGTCGCTGCTTGTGCGCCTACTAGCACAGTCTATGCGCACCCCTCCACTATTCTCTCGTGTCTCGTAGTCCCGTCTACCTCCTCTGGCTCGATCGAGGGGGGTGACCCTACTGCTGCTGACACAACGACCTCTCGCCGCTTGCCGTGCTTGGAGACAATTCCGGGTTTTCCGCCTCGGACGTCTTCGCCTCCTCTGCAGCCTGACGCTGCGGACTTCGGGGGCCCAGGTGTTGTTGGGGGTGATGATGCTGGGGGTGCTGGTTCTGGGGGTGCTGCCTCTGGGGGTGCTAGGAGTCCTCTTGTTGATGGAGTTGGAGGTACTAGCGCTGGAGGTGCTGGGTCTGGGGGTGCGTTGCAGTCGCTGCCGCGGCGGCCTATCTTCTTGGAGCAGCCGTCGTCGTCGCTACCTGAGCCGACGCCCACTTGTACTACTCCTCCTCTGTTGTTTCTGCCGCTTGACCCCCCACTGCCTACTCCTGCTCGATACGTCCCGTTGTCCTTCTCCCAGACTGGGCGTCGGGAGCCTGCTTCTTGTGCCGCCTCCCCTGCTCCCTCTCGTGTTACCCGGGAGCCTGTTGTCCTGCCATTACCTCCCCTGTCTTCTCTTCCTGCTGTTCCTGACCCTGTGTCTGACCTTGCTTGTGCTGCTCGCCCGACTATCCCTTGTTTTCTAGCCGCGCTTGTGAATGCACATGCTTCTTCGCCTGCTGCTGCTTGTGCCTTAGTAGCTGAGCTCGCAGGCTTTGCCACTACTTGCTGCCGTGCCTACCTTGCTGGTCTCGTTTCTGCCTCTTTGTGCCCTCCGTCCAGTGGGGGTGAGCTTGCCCTTGGCTGTGACGTCCTTGAGGACAGGCAGTTTGAGCTGGAGTACCTGCCGTACCCTCTCAGCATCCGGACTCGCTACGTTGCGTCCGGGAGACACCACCCAGTGCAATGGAGGGCTGCTAGGAGGGTGCTGCGCTACCTAGTCAGACTAGCGAGCAGAACGTAGCACTTTGCACTTTGTTCCTTTGCCGTGCGAGTGTTGCAGCAGCGTTCCCAGCTTCGCCTTTGTACGTGGCCACACGGGCCAACACTGCTTGTCTCTTGACATTGTCTTGTACTTTGATGTATAAACCTGCATGTTTCTGGTTGCTAGGCTGTAATCATTTTACTGCTTGCTTTATTATTAAACCGCATGTGATCGGGCCTTGTGGCCGCTTGCTAGTGCTCAAAGTGCGTGGTGATCTTGAGATCCACCCTGAGCTTGCTTTGCTTTGTTTCTTCTCTTGACTGGTCTTGTGACTGCTTGTTGTGCTTGCTATCCCCCACTTCGCCTATGGGGATGTGTCAGATTATATGTTTTTTGCTATCTAGGCTGTAGTGGGTTTAGCCTTAGGGGGTACAGTAAGTTGCTCGACACTTCATTGTATCCCCCTCCTTGCCCTAATCCATCCCATTCCTTCCTACCTATCTCAACACATCCGTGTGCTGCCAATGAAGAGTGACCAACTGACCCCAGATATTCAGGTAAATCACTTCTTTCTGCCGAACCCATGCCGCATCTGACTCCATTGCAAATGAAACTTGCAGGCGACAATAACGCATGTTGGCAATGTAGACCGTCTGGAGCTCTTGAAACTTTGTCGTCGTCACGACGTCAGCTGATAACTCTGAAATCCACCCGTGCTTTATTAGTGCCTTGACAACATCAATCACACAAGAAATCTCCTTCACCAGCATGAAAGGGATCAACAGAATCGCAATAGAGGGCAAACCAGATCCCGCTTCCTTAACCAGATCGATCAGCATTTCATCATCCGAGTCGTCATCAATGAACCCGTCAGCATCAGCAAGACCCATGGAAGTGTCAAACTAACGAACGAGAATGGATGAACTATGAATGAGTTGGGTACAAGTACTAACCTTGATTGGGTTGTACCCCTTATGGGCTACCCAGCTATAGCCTACACAAAGTAAGCAGTGTAACATTTTGACACACCCCCATAGGCAAAGTGGGGGAGAATAAGTGGTCACAAGACTAGTCAAGAAAAGCAAAGCAAGCTCAGGGTGGATCACGAATTCACCACACATTCGGAGCACAAACAAAGGCCACAAGGCCAGTTCACATGCAGAGTTATATAAAAGAGAACAAACAGTACAGTGATCATACCCTAGCAAGAGTAAATATGCAGGTATATGTATATAGGTCACAATACAAGCAAAGTCACGCAGTGAGCAAGTGAGGCAAGAAAGGCACAAGGCCTAAAACAGTACAGAAACGCTCATGATCACCAGACTGAAGTGCCTTGGTGAATATATCAGCAGTGTTGGCCCTAGTGGCCACGTAAGCAAGACGAAGCTGACCACGCTGCCGCAACTCTCGGGCAAGGAAGTAACGCAGAGCAATGTGCTTCGTTCTATGCTCCAGTCTGTGCTCCTGACACAAGGCAATCATGGCCTTGTTGTCTACGTACAGCACTGGAGAAGAACAAGGCCGCTCTCCCAAGTTGGTCAGCAGGTAGGTGGGCCAGCGTAACTCATGTGCAGCCATGGCCCCTGCGTAGATCTCAGCCTCACAACTGGAACGGAGAACAGAAGACGAGCGAGTAGACCGCCAAGAAATAGAGCCAGAGCCAAGGCGTAAAGCGTAACCCTGCGACGACCGCTGCATAGCCAATTCATCAACCCAAGAAGCGTCTGCGTGTCCACTGAGGACAACTGGACCCCGTCCTCCAAGCACGAGCCCCATGCCCGAAGTACTGCACAAGTAGCGCAACACCCTCTTAGCAGCCTCCTAGTGCTCTGGTCGGTGTCTCCCGGGCGCAACGTAGCGTGCCAGGATGCTAAGAGGGTAGGCAAGGTCAGGTCGAGTGCAGGTCATCAGGTACATGAGGCAACCCACAAGCTCTGGATATGGGCCACTCGGCTCTATGGACTCGTCCAAAGGTGGAGCTGAGAGCGAGTGACCGGTAGGCAGAGGAGTGGACTGTGGCGAGGAGTACTGGAAGCCAAAGCGCTGAAGGACCTGGTGCACCATGTGTGACTGAGTCAGGGTGATGGTGCGCCGTGCTCTGTCCCGGGTGATCTGCAAGCCAAGATAGCTACGCAGCTCACCAAGGTCAGTGCAGGTGTGTCTCTTCTGCAGCTCCGACTTCACAAGGGCCAGTGCCTCAGTGTCAGCAGTGGCAAAGACCAAGTCGTTGACGTACACGAGGACGTAGAATGGCGGCAACGAAGTGTCGGTGCATAGAAACAGCGACGGGCCAGCAGTCGAAGGAGCAAACCCCAGAGCCACAAGTGTAGGCCTCACTGTGTTGTGCCACTCGCGAGGCGCCTGGCGGAGACCGTAGATTGGCCGCCGGAGACTCCACTGGGTACCTGCAGGAAACGGCCCTGTGAAACCAGGGGGGCGGCGCAGCCAGATCTCCTCATGCAGGCTGCCCT